TTAAAGGAGGGGGATGGAAGTCTTGCCTGCCAGGATGGCATCGGCCAGGAGGTGTCAGCAGAGCGAGGCACCATCCCAGCTGTGGGCCGAATGGCAGGAGGTGATATGGGCTAGCCTGGGCAGGGGCCCAGCTGGGAGAGGGGCAGCTGGATGTGGCCTCCCCAGAGAAAGCAGGGAGGGTAGTCCTGGAATGCAGGGCATGGAGGTGACAGGGACATGTGCCCAGGACTCGGGTCAGGGGAAGAAAGCCTGGGGCCCTCTCTGGAGCCGCTGCAGCCAGGCTTGGTATCTGGAAGCTGCAAAGGGCCCAGCAAGGGGCTGCTGCCTCCCCAGGCCCTCTCTGGCCTTCAGGCCCTTGACATGAGGCTGTTTGAGGTTTCCAGGGCCACTGCTTCAGGGAGGCACCTGCAGAAGTCACTGGGCACACAGGCCTGATGGGGGTGGGCATTGCCAGGAGGAATGGCCAAGGGCAGGCGTGGATGGCATGTGGGCATCAGTCATGGGGCACTGCCACAACACGGCATCCTCCATGCTGCTGCCCAGCAGCCCTCCTCTGGGACCCCTCCTGAGACACTGGCACCATGACCCTGTGCCCAGTTCCTCCCCTCAGCTTGGCCCACCACCCACCAACACCCCTGACTCAGGCCCTGCTTCTGCTTCCCAGGCTGGCCCAGGGGGCTGCGTCCTGATTCCCGGTCCCACCCTGCCTCCCCTCTGTCATCCTGTTAATGCCACGTGCCAAGGCCGGGGATGCACAGGCCTGCAGGAGCAGCCTCCAGCTCTCTGCTCCCCACGTGCCCTCCCCAGGAAGGCCCAGGAGGCCAGGGGCAGCCCCCAGTCCCAGCTTGGGGACCAGAAGTTGAAAAGGCCCTAAAGCCTGATAAATTCTGGGCTAGATGAAAGGACCCTACTGCCCAGAGGCCTCGCGCCGCAGTGCCTACAAGCCCACCGTCATGAAGCCTTGCTGCTGTTTATCCACCACCAACGAACTATAGCCACAAGAATAACAACAATAAAATGGTAACGGGTGCCATTCACTTGACAAATGCTATCTGCAATCTCCGCCACTACCCTGCACGGGAGGGGCGTTTACTCTCACTTTGCAGAAGAGAAGACTGAGGATTAGAAAGTGCACAGGATTTACCCAGGTGAGGAAAGAGCAGAGTCAGGATTCGAACCCAGGGCCATCCGACCAGAGCCCAGGTTCCCCTGACTTCCTGCCTGGCAGAGGCGTGCCTCAGCTGGGTTCTTTGTGGACAGAGGGCAGTCTTGCCATGACTCGCGCCTGAAACTCAGCAAGTGTGGAATGGAACTGGCTGCATCCAGACAGACAGGGTCCCCATTCCCAGTCTGCAGATGAGGAAATGGAGGCTTCTCCTCTGAGAGCTGGGCCATGCCCAGGGGACTGAAATCATTTACAGAGTGCAGCGAGTGGACCAGCTGCAACTTGTCTAATGTCACATCGCAAAAGGGACGGAGCTGGGGCATGAACTCAGGCAGTTAGGCTCTGGAGACTGAGGTCTCACAGACTTTCCAGCCTCACCACCTTCCAGGAACTCAGGCCGGGTCCCACCCCAGCCTACCCTGCACCACCTCTGCTGCTCGCCCTCCCTGAGTCCCAGCTGCACAGCTGAACCTGAGGAGTCCCCTGGGCCAAAGGCAGTAAACAGCCACGGCCACCTGCTCCTGCTCCGTGAGCAAGAGGAAGCAGAGCCCCTTGCCTAATAGAGGAAGTTCCTGGGTGGGGCACAGAGGGCCTGCCCTGGGGGTCCCAGCCCAGCCCGAGGTCCCGGAAGGGGCCACCTCCAGTGCCCCAGCTCAGGGCTAGGTGCCACCTGCAGGACACGTAACCCCCTCCCCACCCACCAGGCTGGCGGCATCGCCCCTTTAAGCTGTAGGCAGCCGGCTGGCATGCCCAGCGGGTGAGTCAGCACCCGGTGCCCGCTGACTCACGGCCGGAAGCCTCCGCGGGCCCCGGCCTTCTCACACAGGCCAACTGAGAACTTTGCTCCCTTTGGGCCCTGGGCCATGGGTTGGCTGACAGAGAGTTTCCTGTGCGTCACAAGAGGGGTGGGGGAAGTCCCCGAGGTGCCACCTCCAGTCTTTCCGACAGCCGGGGGTGGGGGAGGGTGGCCGCACCAGGCAGGGCTAGGACATGGCAGTGCTCCATGAAGCCTCAGTGTCCCCACGGGGCAGTCAGGAGTCCGCAGCCACAGTCCAAGCTGTGTGAAAATTAACCATGAAGTGCCCCCACAGGTGGCACTCTTAGGGCAGAAGGGGCAGAACCCATGCTCTGAACGACAACAGGACATGTGTGGTACCCTGCAAGGACAAAGGTGGCTTGCACACATGCCCCTGCCCACTGGCCCAAAGATGGCCATGTGGGCAAGGAGGCCAGGGAAAAACCAGCAGAGCTCTGGGCCTGAAGGCTGCACACACACGGAAAACTCCCCAGGCCCATGGCACGGAGGACGGAGGATGGGGCCGCGTACCTGCTGCAAGGCAGGAAGCTCAAAGGTAAAGCTCCAGTAAGGTCAAGCGCCAGCCACTCCCTGCCATGCTCAAATTCCTTCGAGAAGGTGGAGAAGGCTCCGTGCTGGGAGGCCCAGTGCCCAGGATGGGGCGGGCATGGCGCGAGGACCTCCACCTATTGGGGCAGGCCGGCCATCCTCCCTCCAAGCTCAGTTCTGCATCTGTCAAATGGGTCGGATTGCAGTGAATATGCCTCAGGCCCAGCGTAAAGTGCCGTGTGCCGGAGAGGCAGCACCTCCGCTCCGTCTGTCCTGGAGGTCTGGCATGACCGTGAGGACAGGCCCACTGCACAGGTTGTGAGCAAGGCCAGGGGTGAGGGCATCCCACCAGCTCAGCTCAGGCATCTAGCATGGGAGCGGCACACAGGGGGTCACTGGGAAGACCTCTGTGGAGACACACAGTCCTGGGGGAATCCTACTCCACCTGTCACCGATGTGTGGCCTCAGGCAAGGCACTTAATGCTTCTGGGCCTCAGTTTCCTTATCTGTAAATGGGGCTGTGAGGAATGAATGAGGAAATGCATGGCACGTGGAAAAAAAGAAGGAGCTCCCAGGGATTTTGGTGAGGGGCATTGTGGCTCTGCCACCACATACTTCCCCAGACACCGAAGAGGCTATAGGGTCCCTGGGACTGAGGGAGGTCCCTGACCCTCCATTCAGCCCACCCAACCTCATCTGGGACCTGGGTTCACATCTAGAAGTCCATCCTGGCCTTCCCACAGCATTCCCATCACCTCTATGACCCCTCTCCCTGCACAACTGTGCAACTGGAACGTCTATTTTGCTGAGGCATTCCCTGCCTGGAGAGCTAAAAAAGCCTCCAAAACAAACAGGGCTTCCTACCCCTCCCCGAGCTCTCCGGAGTGGAGAAGTGTCTGATTTCCCGGTTCCCAAGCTCCACGATGTCTGTGCAGTGAAGTCCCTCCTCAGACGCCTCCCCCGGCGAGTGCCTCCTGAGTTACTCACAGTGGTTGGGCAATTGTCAGGGATCCGGCCTCCCACTTATGTAAGGCATAATTATTCTGCCCACCCGGCTCAGCAGCCAGCAGCAGGGGCCAGGAAGAGCCCATGCCCTCCCCAGACCCCCATAGGGCTTCTACTGGCTTGCGCCCTCCAGGGCAGCAGAGTGGTTGACCCCTGATGAGGGGGCGCGGGCTGCTACCTGCCTCCTGCTCACTCTGCAGCGGAGCCCCAGCAGCGGGGGCCTTTCCAGCAAGAAGAATGAAAGCAACAGCGAGACGTGGGCAGCCGGTGTCCCCTGGTGAGCACCGGCTCCTCGCCAGGCACTCTTCCAGTGAATGAGTGAACGCCTCAGAGCTGATTAGCATTCCCCACCGCACGCCCCACTCCCGTGTCCACAGAAGCAGGTGTGATTACTTCCAATTTACAGAAAAGGAAACTGAGACCCAGAGACACCAGGGAGCTTGCAGGGGTTAGGCAGCCCATTCATTACGGCTATGTCCGGTTTGGAAATCTCTCACAGCCCAGCCTGCTGAAACTCCGACGCACCAAAAACATCCTCTCCTCTTCCTGAAAAAAAAAAATTCCCCTTCTGCCCTCCAAGTCTCGTCCTTCCCCCCTCCGCATGACAAATCCTGCTGCCGCCACCTCACAAAAATTTCCAGGAAGGCCAGCTACTTGGAGAAGAGCAAATCCCTTGCACAGCCAGCACCCTGGCCTGGCGGCTGGCCCAGATCCCAGGCAGCCAGGACAGGAACCAGATGGGGTGAGTCCCCCAAGTGCAGGGAGAAGCTTGCAACTCAAGACAGAGAGGAGCCGGTAGAGAGGGGGCTGCACCTTAGGGAGGGGTGAGAGGACAAGGGAGGTTCCTGGGGACACAGGACTGCAGGACGGGGTGGAGGTCAGCCAGGGAAGGGGCAACATAGGGCCTAAAGGAGAGGGAGAGTTGGGGGAGAGGAGATCAGGCGGTTCCGAGCTGGGGTGTAGCCAGAGCACCCGCATAGGGGCTACAGTGAGGTCGGCAACAATAAGAGCACTCTGGGGCCCAAATGGAGACGCAAGAGAAATCCCAGCCTAGATACAGCCCTGGGTCCCGAAACTGGACGTGGGACTGGGTGCTGACCAAGGACCCAGGTAGGGGCCGGTGTGAATCTCACCCGGGTCCCGCTGAGGGAGAAGACTGGGAGAGTTCCTGTCTAGTCTGCAGCCATAAGGCGCAAATGAGGTCAGAGTGGGGCTCCTACTTGGATGGGTGGGAACAAAGTCCTCGCCTAGGTCCAGCCTGGGTGATCTCGAGCCTGGGTGCAGTCCCAAGGCCTCACCTGGGGGTTCAGGTGAGGTCCCAGGCTGGGGCCGGTCCCGGGACCCCAAACAGGAAGGGGTTCCGGGACAGGGCGCCGCTGCCAGGTCGAGGACAGGATAGGGTGGGACCACAGAACGGTCGGAGTTTGCAGGCCGGCCCCACACTGGGCCCGGGGTCAGGCCGAGGTTCCGGCGGGGAGCGCCTACCTTTGGACTGGGGCATGCTGGCGGGCTGGCTCGAGGCGGGAGACTCCATGCTGCAAACGGGTCCGGGACGGCGGCGGGGACTAATCTAGAGGACAGCGGGCTCCACCGGGGCCGAGCACGCTCATGGCTGCGGGCAGACGGCCCAGGTCAGACGGAGGAGCAGAGGCACGCGGCAGCTACTGCAGCAGGACGCGTCCGCAACTGGCGGCGCCGGAGTCAGACTGGGCAGCGCCCGGGGGACCCCTGCCGAACGGCGCTAACTTAGGCCCCACCCCTGCGTGCCGATTGGCCCTCCCGTTTCCAAGGCCTGTCCCCCGCCTATCAGACGCCGGCTGTTCCTGCCTATCAAACATACGCCCCACCCCCCGTGGGCCCAGGATCCTGGCCCCTCTAGCTCTCTGTCAAGTCCGCCAGCCGCCCGAAAAACCGAGGCCCGGCCAGACTCCGCCCTCCTCGTCTAAAGCCTCGCCCCTCGCGCTGCCCGTCAACACGCAGGCCCCGCCCACTCCTGGGACCCACTGAGCCCGCTACTCCCTGCAGGCGCCAGGCCCCGCTCAGCACCCCCAGGCCCCACCCAGCACCCCCAGATCCGCAGCCCCGGCGGGTGCGCTGCGAGGGTGCGTTCTCCTGGGTGCGTGGTCTGGAAAAACCCTGCGATCCCCAAAGGCGGCCAGGCTGGGCCTGGCGAGGCGGGCGGGGGTTAAAAGCACGCTGCTGTGTTGAGACCGAGTTTCAGATCCGAGTCGGCAACTTTGCAGCAGGACTGGCCTCGGGCAGGTTGTGACACTTGAGCCTCAGTCTACGCCTCTGTGAGCGGGAGGCGGTGACAGCCACCTCCCGGTGCTTCTCGCTAACACGCATGGAGGGCCCCGCGCCAACAAACGTCCACTTGCGGCCGGGCATCAGGCGCCCGGCCAGGGCGCGGAGTCGGTGGTGAGCTCAGCGATGCCCGGTGACGAGGCAGCACGAGGAGCTTTCGTGGCTGTTTACTGCTACCCCTGTTCTACACAGGGGGAAACTGTGTCTCAGAAGGAGTGAGGTGGCATGCGGTGCATTTTATCCCGCGAGCCCCAGGCCCCATCCCGGCTCTCTCCTGGGCCTTGGTTCTCTCCTCTCCTGCTAGGACCTCAGTCTGCTCATCTGCATAATGGGTGGACGGGCCAGTCCTCCCTCTGCTCCCACACGGAACCTCGGGGAATTTCAGAAACCGCTGACCAATCTGGAGCTGTGATCAGGTGACTCTGGATGTAAAGCCATGGCTAGTGAGGGCAGAATGTGCCAGGCAAAGGTCAATGGGTCAGCCCCTGGCCTCCAGGCAGACATGAGTGTGTACCCTGTCAGGGACCTCACGTGAGGGAAGCAGATTCCACCACCTGCCAGAAACGCTTGAGGCCAGGGCTGACCTCTGCTTGCCCAGGTGTGAAGTGGGGGTGATGCAGGCCCTGTGCACACAGCGGCGGGGAGGGCCAGGTGAGATAAGAGTGAAGCCTTGGAGTCATCACCTTTCTCTTCCTGTGTCTCCTGTTTACCCTTCCCAGGCAGTGGGGTGGAAATCATGAGCCTGGGGCTCAGACAGGTATGGACTCCAACACCAGCTCCCCCACTTACTAGTTGGGTGACCTTGGAGAAGTCACTGAGAAGCTCTGTCCCTCAGTTTACCTATCCCATGGGGACAATAAGGTCTCTGAAAGCATTTCATGAGTTCAGGAGTGGAAACGCCTGGCCTAGGGCCTGGCACTCACTAGGTGCCCAGGACATGTGAGTTCCTAAACACTGTGGACTGCCTCCATCCTAGCCATATCATACCTGGTGACCTGTGCTTACCCATCCGTAGAATGGGCATCCAGCAGCCGTTTCCTTTCTACCAGAACTGCAAGCCTGGTCCAGCGAGTTTTCTGGGTTCAGGCCCCGGCCAACGGCCTTGACTCCTGCTCCCCCACACTCCGCCTTGTGCACTCTGCTCCTTGGGATGTTCAAGAGTCTTAGTGTGCCCCTCAAATGTGCCAGGGATGGTTCTGCTGCAGGGGCTTCCCCCTTGCTGCTACTGCCCAGAACATTCCTCCACTCAAGCCTCCTGGGGCTGGTTACCTCTCATTCCTCAGACCGCCTCTTAAATGAATGCCCCTAAGAGGCCTTCGCATCACGGTCCTCAAACTGAGGCACAACACCGTGCTGCTGACGCCTTTGTTACTGACTGAGTTTTTAACAGAACTCTCCCTCCAGACCACCCATGCCTTATTCCCTGCTGCATTCCCGACACACAGCCCAGAACCAGGTACATCGTAGGTGCCTAATAAATATTTGAGGAATGAAAAAAGGAAGGAGGAAAACATCCACAGACCAGGGTGAAGCGACTCCAGTCCCGTGCCAACCTCCGTGGCGGCCAGATGACTCAGACAGGCCCTCACATACAAGGAGTTTGGGGATTAGTCAGGAGCCCAGGAATCACAAAACTCCATGTGAGTGCTATAAATAGATGCATGAGCCAAAGTCCCAGGAGGATGCCTGGGTGATGCAGGCATCTCCATCTGGGTGGGGTCAGGGAAGGCTTCTCAGAGGAGGTGGTTTTGAGACTGGACCTTTAAGGAGGTCCAGGGCCAGTAGGAGCTTGCCAGGCAAAGACGCAAGAAAGAGCATCCCTGGAAGACAGCAGCAGGGACAAGGGGTTGCAGGTGTAAAAAGGGTCACACATGGCCGGGCGCGGTGGCTCAAGCCTGTAATCCCAGCACTTTGGGAGGCCGAGGCGGGTGGATCACGAGGTCAAGAGATCGAGACCATCCTGGTCAACA